AGATTATCTCAAGGCAATAAATCACCACTGATTTCTGAATAATAAGCTCCAACTTAGCCTTTAGGAAAAAATCCTTTCTGCAGCCGGGAGCCTCACTATACAGCCGCACATCTCCAAGCCTGCCGTACCTCTCCTGTCCTGGCTCGTGCCCACCCCTCACTCTGAGGCAGTGCTTCTGTAAATATAAACACACTACGCTTAGAAGGAAACTCTATTTCACAATGAACAGTAGCTAACATCAATAGTCTCAGAAGATACTCTTCTTAAACAATACTTCCCGATCCAAATTGTTTTGTGATTGAATTAAACTCTGCCTGTACTATGGAGAGCCTCCATTATTCCAAACATGTACTTGGATTCTTTTACCATTTTCTAAGCTTTTATAGAAACTGTCCTTTCTTCAGAGTGCTATCTCACCACTAACATTTCCCCTCCCCTTGCTGGCATTTAACAGTTAATATTCAACAAGTAGTAACGTATCTTGGGCCACACAGAAATTCCTGAAAAGCAAAGGCTTTTTTCAAAGAAATTAATTTTCTTATAATTATATGAAAAGTTAACTCATGAACTGTTGGTTTCTTTTTTAAGTAAGTGATTTGGAAAACACAATATTTCATATTAAATATTCTGTATCACCACTTACTTATAACTTAATAAGTGATATTTTAAAATATGTGTGAGAATGAATGCAAATGAAAGAACTCAGAGGGAGAGTGATTCAACGATGTCTTATAAACAGCATCACCAAAACTTAGTTCATATCATGTAGTATCTTAAAATGTTAAAGCACAGACAGACTATGAGTACTACCCGTCAATACATTTTATACCATGATTCATATATATATACACATACATATATATATAAAATTTGTTTTCCAAGACAACTGTAGTGGATGTTAAAGTTTTAAAAGAGGTAAGGAAGGATGGAGAGAAAGACACTCTATAACACCCAATCTTTACAGCTATATTATCACTTAACATTATACTATAGTATAAAAAAAAAAAGGTCCCTTCCCAAATATTCCCAAGGCAAGCAAATAAGTCTAACAATAATAATAAATTTATAGCATATCTCACAGCCTTTATGGATTATCAAAAAATCTTAGGTATTAAAAAATAAAATGCACAAAATCAAGTTGTACTAAAATTACATGTGTTAAAAGTAAAATTCAAATAGTATTTACATATTAACAAAAATACCAACTTAAACAAGTTTGACTAACGTTTTTAATCCAGCATTCACAACTGCAAAAACTCATAAAATGAAAACTTTCACTCCCAGAGAAAAAAAATTACTAAATATAGTCATCAGTGATGTATTTATTAAACGATGTATTACATTTAATAATTGTCCTTTAAAAATAACACAGAGGGCATATATTAAGATAAACATGGTCATACAGTGAATAAGTCTTTAAGCAAGATAATGCTCATGAAATGGCAGAACATAAGAACATAACTGGTATGACTCCCCTCTTCATAATTTATAATAAGCCCTATGTAAGAACTTCTTGTTCATGGATAAAAGAGCTTAAATAAAATTTCACAATGGTTGTTACAAAAATTGCTTATTAAACCAAATCTACCACTTTTCCATCAGCAACCCAAACAACAAACAGCAAGACAGAACCCTTCTATTTTCACTACCACGAAACCACCAGGTTAAAGAAATCAAAATGAATATGTGCACTTGCTGCCCAAGATGCACCAAAAAAATACATAAACCTAATAAATGTTCTAAAGCAGAATGTAAAGTTGTAATTATTATTTCACTCACAGTTGGAAAATTAATCTCAAAATAAAAAAATTAAGTTTTTTAAATGCTTACTTTGAAAGAAGAAATTCAAACCAAATTCAAATTTGTTTTTAAATAAAATTAGCATTTCAGTCACTCTCCCAAATCCTAAGTATTTACAAACATGAAAATATTACATGATTTAGTTTTTAACACAATCTGTGGAAATATTTTCCAAACTAGTTTATACCAACTGTTTAAGAGTAATGTTCTTTCCTAATTGAAGATGTCCTTTGTATCTTCACTTCGTTAAAAACAATTCATAGTGGTGTCCTTTTCCTGTGTGAGCAATATGTCCTATGAATGATTGATTCTACAATACTTATCATTAGTTTACTAAAAATTACTCATATTCTTTACAGTAAGTAAAAGTGTAAGCAGAAAACAGATCAGAAGAAGACAGATTAGTACTAGGCAAGCTTTTAGTGTTTTAATTAAAAGATGAAATACTCTCAAACAAATGGCATGACATTTAGTCATTAAAAAATAATAAACCATTAGCATTAGCATCACTGGAGGGGAAGTCAAGAATATATAGAACTTCAAAAGTGTTCTATATTATAAAGGAAAAAAGCTGATGAGATTTTTATCTACATGTGAAATAATCAGTTAATAATATATAGCAACAATTATTGCTAACATCACCTGAAGATTTCAAAAGATGACCAGAGTAACACATGCAGGAAATCCCTCTCACGCATCGTCAAATTTTCAATATTTCAGATTTTCAGATGAAACAGATACAAACCATATTCACAAATACGGCATATTATTTTAAACCTACTCTTTGACTTAATACTCTGTATTAGTCAAAATTTTTTCAGTATTTCAATATTTCCATTCAGCTATCAAGAAGTTAATTTTATATGAAAAAGGAAAAAAAATCTATTAAGCAGATGTGCTACATATTTAGCAACAACAAATCCACTTACTTTTTTCTTTCTCATGACGTTTATCCTGAGAGTGAGAGGAAGAATCACTTAAACTTTGATCATACGGCCTATTAGGTCCCCATTTGCTCTTTTTCTAAAAAAGGAAATATATATACATATAGGTATAGTATATAAAATTTTTAAAATAATCTTTTTGTTAGGTTTAAACCAATTCAAGTGTGAAGTGTTTAAAAATGTCTACTGAAGGTTTAAAAAAAAAAGTCTGTTTCAAACTACATAATCCAACTCAGACATCATCCATATATTAGCTACTGCATCATAAAGGGAAAGCTAACCCTAAATGTAACACCAGTGCCATATTTTTGTATACTTATTAAATGTGTGAAAACAGACTATACTTTCAAATAAGCAGTAGCTTGTCATTTTATCAGAAAATCGCCTCTTTAAAGAGATCAACTGTAATTTTCAATGTCTGCTTTAGAAAATAAAAGAAGTTTCAACCAAAAATAGAGAATGCCATACTGAAGAAGGATGCCAAGACTAGAAAAGAAAAGAAAATATTTGAAGTTACTTTATGCCACTAGGAAAAGCAAGAAGTCTTTTCATCTCATACTTCCAGTATTAAGGCATACAGTTTTCTAAAAACTTGTCTTTGCAGTTCATACAGAAAAAAACAAAGAAAATGTCAGTATTAGACCCACGCAATTTTTCAAAGCACGGCGATGGCACAGGTCCCAGTGGCCCAAAGAGCCCCAGCCGAGGCGGGATGAAGCAAGGTAGCCCCCAGGCCCTGTCTCCCTCCGCTCGGCGGCCCGAGACCCCGGGCCAGGTGAGCGCGCACACCGGGCGCCCCAGGTCGGCCTCCTTTCTCCAGGAGCCTCGTCCCTCCGCGTCCGCCGCCGCTATGGAGACGATGCACGCAC